AGGCTCTATTACATACAGCCGGGCAGCAACACCTTGCAGGTCTGGTTATGTCCTCTAGGGGGCAGTACACGCACCACATTCATGACCCAGATAGGATACTATTTCTCTTGTCAGGATTTATGGTCCCAAGAGTCATGAGGTACAAATGGTATTCCTCTGGTGTTCCAGTAGTGAATTTCCTCTCTGTTTGCTGCAACTTTGAGCTCTCTAAAGGTCAAAACCTTTCCTCCCCCTCCCTTTCCTTCTCCTTCCCTTCCCCCTCTTCCCCCCTCTCCTCCTCCTCCTCCTCCTTCTTTTTCATTTGATGCCAATATTGGGGCTTGAACAGCCTAGGCACTGTTTCATTTAGGGCTAGTGCTCTACCACTTAAGCCATAGCTTCACTTCTGACTTTTTGGTGAAGATACGAGTCTCACAGACTTTCCTTCCCAGGCTGGCTTAGAACTGAAATCCTTAGATCTCAGCCTCCTGAATAGCTAGGACTACTGAGTAGCTAGCTGGGTGCCACTGGTACCCAGCAATAAAATCAAAATCTTAGTTTCTATGGGGGAAATGTGTTCCTTGGAGAACATAACAACCCATTGAACCAAAAGGACGGTTTTCGGTGCAGTGTGCCAGTGAACCAAGTTTTCAGTAAAGAATCAAAGAAGAATTCTTTTCCCACCTAGAGTGATGGATTCTAATTACCAAGGGGGGAGTGGACAGCTAATAAATGATGGAGGAAGGGGTAGGGACTCCATGTCCTCTAGTTAATGTCAACGGAGAACACAAGACTGTTAGCCTCAGGAATGAAGATTTCAGTGTCTTCACCAGCCCTGAATATATATATATATATTATTGTTGGTCATGGGGCTTGAACTCAGAGCTTGGGCTCTGTCCCTGGGCTGTTTTGCTCAAGGCTAGCACTCTGCCACAGCTCCCCTTCCATTTGTTTGGTGGTTAGTTGGAGATAAGAGTCTCATGAACTTTCCTCCCTGGGCTGGCTTCAAGTCACCAATCCTCTATCTCAGCCTCCTGGGTAACTAGGATTACAGGCATGAGCCGCCATCACCTAGCTTTTCGTTAAAAAACAAAACAAACAAAAGCAACGTGAAACTTTTTTAACAGTCTAGTCTGTGCATTACCTGGTTCTGATGTCTCTCCGTGCTCCCACCCCTCCTCTCCTGTATACGGGTAAATGCTCAGTCTCTTAACACCTGAACAACCTGGTGCGGGATGACTTCAGAGGAGATGGTGAGCAATGGCGAAATACCCCCTGAGGTGAAGAGGAAGGATCCAGGAATGCTGTTGCCTGTCAGCCAGCCCTTGTGGCTTTACGTTGCTATGGTGACAGAGGCTGGGGATGCTAAGTATACCAGCAGAACCTCGGTTTAAAATAGCAGCTGGTTAGCACCATTGCTGTCCCTGAATGGCTGTCCTCTCAGTCACTACTGGGCCCCAGCTGCCCTGACCTCTGTTGACAAATGGTTGTCCTTCACAGTCAAACCACTCATGGTACTCGGATTAATGGATGTGCTAATTACCCTTCCCTATTCCCAGCACATTTATTTAACTAACCTGTCACACAGATGATTGCAATACGTGCTGGAGTCCTGAGGCTAGGAGGACAGAGGCCTGCCATAGAGAGGTAGCCTTTCTGCCTTGAGGCTGTGGGATAGTTCTTGTTAAATTATCTTTACCAATGGTCAGGTGTGTTGGGTACATGTTATTTCCTGCAACCCAGGAGTGGTTTTTCTTTCTTTTTAGCCGATCTGCAGATTCAAGGTTGGAGTGGTCAGACTTGGAAGCCCCAGTGGGGCCTGCACTTGAGTCCTTGTTCTGCTCCTGGCTTTCTGCCTGTGTCCTCTACTAGATTTCAGACTATGGGGTGGGTGGAGATAAATTGTTCCCTGGAGTTGCTGCCTTGAGAACTAACTGTGAAGCTCTTGGCTGGCATGTCAGGTCACTAATACTTTTGCCCCATGCATAGGGATGAGAAATTGCTCTAGACCTCTCCTGACTGGGCCCAGGGTGATGCCTGGCCTGCGCTGTGTGGGCTGTGGACCATCCAGCTCATCTCCAGGATCCATCTGATCATCCTGTGCGGGCATTGAGCCAGAGCAGGTGGGTGGTGCCCCCTCCTTCTGTTAAGTCTCAGCAGCTTTTTATGGAGATGAATGGCATTTCCAACAGGCGTCACCTCTGAAGTGTTCCATTGCCTGTAGCAGCAGCCAGAATCTTAATGTGCGGCTGTAATTCAACGCCATCTTGGAAGTGGACTTGGATCCCTGGGATGTGCTCTCTACGCTCTGGTGACTCCAAGGAGACCAGAGGGACACTCCCGAATCCTCTCCCAGGGCTCCTCTCTGCCTTCCAAAGTGCCTATGTCTGGACCTTCTCTTTTCTCTTCCCTATGTGCAGGGCTCCAGGAGTCCTCTGGGTCTCCTGCCTCCCATGGTGCTGGGAAGACTCCCAGTGGTGTCACCTTGGCCCTGTGGGATGCTGTGGCTGCAGTGTACTGAGTACTGGCTCATCTGGCACCCCTATGCACACCATCCCCACAAACAGGAGAGCAGGGAAGAGAGAGAGAGATGGGGTGAGCTTTGAGCTCAGAGTGCAGGGCAGAAAACCTCTTTCACAGCTGGGAAACTGAACCTGGGATTACAAATAGTAGATGGTCATAGCTCCTACATGCATCCTGTACCCCTGCCCTTCCCCTTTCTCTAGGGAAATTCCCCTCAACCATATGAAGACCGTAGGAGCTACCAGGGCTCACGCTTTTTCTCTGTCTCTTTTGCTGTAACTTCCTGGGAAGGAACACATAGCCAGATTTGGCAAATAAAGTTTGTTCTAAGAGCTTAGATGAAAATAGTCTGTCCTTGTAAGACATAAAATTCCTGTGTTGTAGAAATGCTCATTTGAGACAATGGTTCTTCAGAGAAAATGACAATGCAGAGAGAAAGAGAGAGAGAGAGGGAGAGAGAGAGAGGGAGAGAGAGAGAGAGGTACTCCTATGTTGTGTTATTTTTCGAAGTCAGGGTTTGACAAAAGTGCCTCTTAGTCAATGCCAATAGTTGGGTGTTGGAGAACGATAGCAGGAATCTTGCATTTTCAGTAAAAACTATGGGGTAGCTGCACTGAGAGGGCTGTCCTGTTGAATGCCAGGAAAGTCATATGCTCAGTGTGTTTTTTGCTGGTCTTGAGAGTTGGAACTCAAGGCCTTGAACTCATTTGGCTTGTTTGCTCAGCAGACACTTTACCACTTGAACCATCTGGTTAATTGGAGATGGAGTTGCATGGACTTTTCTACTCCAAACCACAATCCTCTGGTTCTCAGCCTCCTATGTAGCTAGGATCATAAGTGTGAGCCACCAGCAGGATAGGTGCTCACCTGCATACATTCTGTCACAGTGGAAACCTTCTCTTTGTTATAAAGTTGGAAAGAATTTCTGGGGAGATGTTTCAGGATTGGCTCTCTGGAAGCCCGTGGCAGAGTTTGACAGTGCTTGTTTGGGTGTTTTCTTTGGGGTCCATCTAGTAACTCTGTTCTTTGATATTTATTTATTTAGTCTGTCGTGGGGCCTAAACTATGGGCCTAGCCTCTGTCCCTCAGCTCTTTAGCTCAAGGCTAGCACTCTACCACTTGAGCCACAGTGCCACGTCTGGCTTTTTCTTTTTCTTTTCTTTTTTTGTCGGTCGTGGGGTTTGAACTCTGGGCCTGGGCGCTGTCCCTCAGCTCTTCAGCTCAAGGCAAGCGCTCTACCACTTGAGCTGCAGGGCCACTTCTGGTTTTCTAGCGGTTTATTGGAGGTAAGAGTCTCATGGACTTTCCTGCCCGGGCTGACTTTGAACTGCTATCCTCAGATCTCAGCCTCCTGATTAGCTAGGATTACAGGCGTGAGCCACCGGCGCCCAGCTACTTTCGGCTTTTTCTATTTATGTGGTGCTGAGGAATCAAACCCAGGGCCTCATGCATGTGAGGCCAGCATTCTACCAATGAGCCACCTTTCCAGCCCCTTGATTTGGTTTTAATCTTTGGCTTCATTCTTTACTTTCTTTCCCCCTGCTTGTTGGTTTTTTTTTTTTTTCCTGTAGGAAGGGAAGCTCTTAGCTACTTCACATTCATCACAATTTATCATTCATTCATTCATTAAAGCAGCATATATGGCTGCTGCTTTAAGTCCTATCAAGTGCTATCATTTTTCCCTCTCTTGTAATTCAAGGAACAAAGGACAATATTCAGGACACAGGTCTTTTTGATGTCATACAAGTCTCTTCTTTTTTTGGGGGGGTGTTTTAGTACAGGGCCTCCTGCTATTGTTTAGCTTTTTTTTTTTCCTCTCAAGGCTGGCAGTCTACTACTTGAGCCACAGCTCCATGTCTGGCTTTTTGGTGGTTAACTGGAAGTTAGCATCTCACAGACTTACCATCCCCAGGCTGGCTTTGAACCTTAGTCCTCAGCTCTCAACCTCTTGAGTAGCTAGGGTTAATTGGCATCTGGCATCGTTTCCCTCTCTCTCTTTGCTGACACGAGGAATGGTGGTGACTCTCAGATCCTCTTGTTTCTGCCGGGCAGGTTTTTAGTCCAGGATTCACTCTGGAGCATCTCAAGGAGGCCTTCTATGACAAGGCCATGCAGGAAAACACGCTACCACCTCCAGGCTTCTCTTCCAAGCCCTGATTCTCCTGGCAGGTAGGTCACATGGAACCACTGACTGGACATTTTGGTAGCCAATAAAAAAGAAGTAGTAGGAGGAGGAAGAGGTGAAGGACAAGAAGAAAGATGGAGAAGGAGGAGAAGGGAGAAGAAAGAAGAGGAGGAGGAGGAGAAGGAAGAGAAAGAGAATGGAGAAGAAGGAGGAGGAGGAGAAGAAGAAGAAAAAAGGAGGAGGAGGAGAAGAAAGAAGAAGGAGGAGAAGAAGAAAGAAGAGGAGGAAGAGGAGGAGGAGGTCCTATGTTTAAGTGTGTTGGAGCCACTAGGAAACTGCAATGAGGAAAGGCAGGGTTCAGGCCTGCACTTCCCCTTCCTGAACAGTGGGCTGTGGTGCTGGGGCCAGACCAGTTCCCCTCTGCAGAGCCTGCCACAAGCATGGACCAAGAGACCCTGGGCAATGTTGTCTTGTTGGCCATTGTCACCCTCATCAGCGTGATCCAGAATGGTAAGGGAAGCCCCTCACTCTGGGATCAGAGGGGTGTTTGGTTTGTAGCTGTTTGTAAGTCAGACTTAGGCTGTTGTGTACACAGCCTAAGATAAGGTTTGCCTTCTCTACTTGTTTCTTTGTATTCGAATGTATAGAGGTGCATGGATTTCTGGTGAATGTGAAATTTTCCCCCTGTCTTTGTTTCATGAGCTGACTCACCATTGCTGCAGAGAGAGGCAGCAACCTGAAGGGCTGGTACAGTCTCTCCCCTTCCCTGCCCCCACTGGTGCCTGCGATCAGCATTTTAACTATTAATTAATGTGGCCAGGGAAGGGGGTGGGTGGCAAAAAGCCCAGACAGGGGGGCAGGAGACATATGATCACTCAGACGTCTGGCGTGGTGCTCACCTGCATTACAACTAAGGTTACCTGCCATCTGTGTATGAAAGGAAGAAAGAAAAAAAAAAAGAAGAGTGGATTGGAGAGATATAAAGTGAAAGTCACCTTATGGTTATTTACTTACGTGTTGTTTTTCTTTTATGCGTTTTGATAATACATTCTTTCTCTATAGCAATGTATTGAAGTCTTTCATATGTATCAGAGAGAGAAGGAGAGAGAGAGAGAGAGAATTATCTTTGTTTGAGATTTGCATTTGCAGGATCTGCAAAAAGGCAGGACTAGTAGAACTGTTTCTAAAGTTTTGAGTTAAGCCCACTGGCCTCAGGTTGTGTGTGTGTGTGTGTGTGTGTGTGTGTGTGTGTGTGTGTGTGTGTGCTGGTACTGGAGCTTGATTTCAGGGCCTGCAATTCTTGCTTAAGTTTATCGCCCAAGGTTTGCTCTCTGCCACCTGAGTCCACAGCTCTACTTCTAGCTTTTGTTTTTGTTTTCTGCTAGATAATTGAAGATAAGAGTCTTGGAGAGTTTTCTGTCTGCGCTGGCTTTGAGCCTGGATTTTCAGATCTCCACCTCCTGAGTGACTAGGATTACGGGCACGAGCCACCAGCTCCTGGCTGCCCCAGGTTATTTTTATAAGTGTCTCTAGCAGTGGCTTTGGTTTATGGTTTCTTAGGCTAGGGACAACAAGAGCATAATTACTAAGGATAACAGCTACAGCTTCACAGTAATTCTGGAATGAGTTTACTGTCACAAATTGGAACCTGGTAGACTGGATTACTGTGGATATTATGCCCTTGGTCTCCATTCTGACTGTGGACAGATGGTGATTTTTGCTTTCTGGGCACAGCCCAAGGCTTCTCTCCACATCTCACCCCCATCAAAAAGACCCCATTTTGCACAGTCAAGTGTGCTCCTCCATGGATCAACACTTCACTGTTTACGGGCCCAAACATTTTCATATTCAAATACCCCATTATATCACACCATCGAATAGCAGCTCAGAGAGGGAACAAGAGACTCAAGTAGGCAGCCCCGTCCTCAAGCCTCTCACTGCTGTTTTTCATTGCGGCTTCCTTGTCTCTAGCACATTGAGAAGGGGTGGGTGGGATAAATAGTCACCATGTGTCTACCTATAGAGACCTTGGTCTGCACCAGCCAGGACCTGGGTCCCTGAGGACATGGAAATGTGGCTCCTGTCTTAAAGGAAAGGGGACAGAAGGCCACAGCAAACCAGCAGCTTTTGAAAAGTTGCATGGATAGGTGTGCAGTGGATTCTTAGCTCTGGGCGGCATTTTCCCTAACCCTAACCTTCCTTCCCCATACCTATCTTTATGCCTGATGATCATTGGTGAACAGGGGGCCAGTGTCCTCTCATAGGCCTGGGCAGTTAGGACTGGGATCCGCTGGGAAGATCAAGTTCATTCTCTCCTGCTCCGTTTCATTGAGGGCTCAGGCAAGCTGCAAGTCTCCCTGTTGTGGGAATAGAACTCCTCTCCTCTCCTTGCTGGGATGTACCAGGGACCAGGCCCTCCACCATCCAGTGGCTGCTTAGCTTCTCTTACTACACTGGAGTTACATGGTGTGATTTCGGGGACTTGAACTTGATATCTGGTGCATTTGCTCCTTGGCTGGCACTCTATCATTTGAGCCATGGCTCCAACCCCAAGATTTCTAATTATTTGGCTGGTGGGAGGTACAATTAGAAATGGTGGAAAGTCTGAGTCTAAATTAAATTTTGTGTGTGTGTGTGTGTGTGTGTGTGTGTGCGCACACGCGTGTGTGCGTGCACGTACTGGGGCTTGAACTCAGGGCCTTATGCTTTCACTTGGCTTTTTTCACTCAAGGTTGGTGCTTTACCACTTGAGCCACAGCTCCCCTTTTGGCTTTTTGCTGTTTTATTAGATCTGAGAGTCTCATGAACATTTCTGTCCAGGGTGGCTTTGAACTACAATCCTCAGATTAAAACCTTCTGAGCAGCTAGGATAACAGGCATGCACACTGACCATAGAAGAGAATGACAGGACACAGTGATCTCTCCTGAAGACTTCCATGAACTGCTGTGTGAAATGGGGGCTTCCTGGCTGGGGAGACATTGCCAATAAGCAGGGAGCTACATTGCTGGGTGAGCGATATTAGAGATATTAGACTGCCCCAGCCCTTTCCAGCCCCAGGGAAGCCAGCTAGAAGAATGTGGACTCAGTATGACTGCACCAAGCTGTCCTATCTGAGCTCAGTTTCTGTGCTTTGTCCTTGTCACCTGTGGTTAGATGAATCGTGTTGTCCTTTGAGGGTATGACCCACGCTCCCAGGTCATCTGAGATCATCTGTGAGGACTTGTTTTTCCTTTTCTTTCTTTTCTCACTGTTCAAAATGCCTTCTCAGGGTAACAAAAATAATTCAAATGAGCTGGGACATCACACCTCTGCTTATTTGTAACTGAGTTTTTAGGCAAATGAGAAGGTCCAGATAGATGTAGGCTCAAAGCCGCTCTTTGTAATTCTAACTTAGCTTCCATATTGCAACCATAAAAATATGCAAAAGTTATATTTTCCTCCCTCCAACCCCCAAAGGCCATTCTGGGATCTTCTTGTTCTTTTTTTTTTTTAATCCCATGTCGTTACTAGGCACTTCACACTCTGTTTGTGTCCCAAGACAACAAGACAGCATCTGTCTGTCTTCTGAGGTTGAACAGAGCCTAGCCTGTCTTGCACGACTTCCTCCTCTGCCTTTGAACATTCTTTAGTCATCAAGACTTTTTTTCAACTTGTGTCTTTCTTCTAGTGTGATTGAGCTGAATGTAGATCCAGCACAACAGAGAAACTTTAAAATGTATCCTTCCGAGACACTTCTTCCAGAATTACCAATGCTGGGTTTCCCAGACAGTTACAGGAAGAGCACCACCACTTTCTCCAGTCAGCTTAGATGTGAGGTGAACCTGGGGCAAACATGCTGGCTCCATTTAGGAATCTTTGACTTTCTGATTGGTCTAAGTGAACCTATACAGACTTTGTTTCTTTACTTTCAAGTACTCTGCTCAAGAAATTGCATGAACATCCACTATTGTTATAGAATAGGGTTTGTGTTACATGGCATTGTCCAACTGTTCACGCAGTATTCTGAGCATGTTTAAGGCAGGCAGCCTTGGCTTGGCTGTGACATTTGACAACTTGATTAGCTTACATGTATTTATTATCTGTGAATCTATGTGTGTATGTATCTATCTAGCCTACTATTGGCAGTTCTGGGATTTCAACATAGGCATTTGCACTTTTAACAGGTGCTCTACCACTTGAGCTATTCATCTCCCAGTTTCTGATTATTTTTGAGACAGGGTCTTTCTACCTTTAAAAAAAATCTGGGTCTAGACTATGGTCCTTCTATTTATGCTTCCTATGCAGCTGCGTTGACAAATACATACTACCACATCCAGCTTTGTGTGTGTGTGTGTGTGTATGTGATGGGATATTTTCAACTCTTTTTATTTTTTGCCTAGGCTAGCTTGAAACTGTAATTTCCCATCTCCCTCCCAAGTAGCTAGGATTATAGGTATGAACTACCAGGCCCAGAGAGTTAAACACATCTTTAATCACCAATGTCTCCAATATACGATGGGTTTACCAGGAATCAAACCTATCACAAGCAAAGGACATTTGTATTTAGAAAATTGATTTTTTCAAAGGAAAGCAGCCTCATGAGCTGGGAAGGATGGACTGAGGGGAGGTTTGCCTTCTCAGAGCTGGGAACACTGAGCCAGGCCTGGTGATGAGAGAGGATGCCGAGGAAAGAAAGATGAGCTCCACTAGGGGCACTGTTCCCACATCCCTACTGGTGTGGGCGAAGGTGGGAGAGGTTAGCAGCTCCCCATCCCCCCTCCAAGTCCCATCTGAGCTGAGAAGGGATAGTCTTCTATACTGAGGGTCTGTAAGCGCTGTGTGAAACAGCTGAGCTGCCATGGATCTGCTGCTCCCTCTCAGCACACACACTCACAATGAAACCCCTAGACACCATCTTTGGAGGCTTGACAATCTAGCTTGGAGTCGGATGGGCTCTAAAGAGCCTGGCTGGGAGATCAGGGCAAAGCTTCTTGTCCAAAGAGGCTCTGCATCCCTCACCATGGTCCTCTGTGCCGGCCTCCGGGCTTCACATCATCCTGACCGTGAACAGTTGCACATTTGGGCCTCTGGGCATCATCATGTCACGGCCCATTGCCCCTGAAAAACTTACATACGAATAACAGACAGATTGGACACCAGCGGTGTGTGCCAGAACGATCATCCAGTCAGAGGGCCTAAAGGCTTGTGGAGGAGATGTGGATCCTCTGCTGGGGACTGATAGGTCCTGCAGGCTCTCCAATGATCTTGCAAGTCACATAGTTTTCTCCTAGCGACACTTTATTAAACCAGTGCACAACATATCTCAAGCGGTGTTTCCCCCTCCCCTCCTATCTATCAAGAGCTCTGATTTTCGTTTCCTTTAATAAATCTTTACCATTTTACTTGATCCTCCATGTCAGTGTACTCATTCTTCAAGACCATAGAGACAGGTGTTGCAGTTTTCAATATCATTTACATCACACCCTCCTCCACAATTTCTCCTGTCTGAGCACTCCGGTTACAGGGAGTGTACAGCCCACTGGTCACAACCTTCTTCTTCTTCAGTCTACTTTGGGTTAAGCACAATGTTCTGTGCTGCGGTACCTTGCATTATTATTTAATGCTTACATCTTGAGATCTGTGTGTGTGTGTGTGTGTATGTGTGGTGTATTATTCATTCCTATTTTAAAGATTAAACACAGCAAGACCTAGAGGTTTAGACCAAGCCAGTAGAGATGGAACTGGTATTCAAACTTAACTGTCTTGTCTAGAGAACAAACCCTCATTCTATGTATATTGCCTCCTGTTCATTTCCTAGGCACTCACTTCTCAGGAAGTTGGTTCTCCTGAGCTGAGATCTACCACTCTGTGTCTTTCAGTCAGTGGTTCTAGTACCATTGTCTGGAATAGCTTTCCTTGTGCCTGCTACTTCTTTGTAACATCACTTCTGCAGCATTGTTTCCCATGTGGCTTTGGTTTTGGAGCCTTTATTATTGATCATTGGGTTGCGTTGCCTCTCCCCTTCTGAGGTTCTTTTCTTGTTTCTTTTCCCTTCCCTTCCTGTCCCTTCCTTTCATTCCACTCCCCTTCCCTTCTCCTCCCCTTCCTCTCCTCTCCCCTCTTTCCCTTCCTTCTTTCCTTCCTTTTATTTTGGTGGTGCTGAGAACCAAACATAAGGTCTAGTGCATACACAACATGAATTTTTTTTACCACTGAGTTGTCTCCCCAGCCCCCCTTCCAAGCACTTCTAAATGAAGACAGGTGTCCCTTGTGCTGGGAATCTGTTTCTGACACCCAGACACCAGTTCTGTCAAATGAATTGACATATGAGTTCTTCTTTTGAGGACTTGTGTCAATCATGCTGTTGATTCATATGGACCTGATGATTAATTAAATTTCAAGATCTTAGATGATCCTGAGAGACTTGAGTTCTTGAGCTCTTGAGTTCTCTGCCCTGCAGTTTTCTCACCCTGCAGGTGCTGGGCTCTTGGTAATTGCAGCTGTATCAATCTGTGAGGGTCCCCTCTCCTAGTTTTGACTTAGTATTATTAGCAGCTAGACAAGCTCAGTGTGCTCATGGTCTTTGTGCATATAGTTTCTAGAACCTACCAGAGTATTACAAGAGGCTGGGAGTGAGTGGCTGGTTCGGAGAAGGCAAATGTAGATAATTCTTCCAAGTTGGTCTAATAAAGGAGAGGTTACCTGGCACCAGTGGCTCATGTCTATAATCCTAGTTATTTAGGAGGCTGAGTTGTGAGGGTCGTGGTTCAAAGCCAGCCTGAGCAGGAAAGTTTGTGAGACTCTTATCTCCAATTAACGAACCAAAAACAGGATGTGGATGTGTGGCTCAAAATGATAGAGTTCTAACCTTGAGCAGAAAAGCTCAGGGACTGTGCCCAGGCCTTGAGTTCAAGCCCCACAACTGCCAAAGAAAAGGAGAGATCATCCCTGGTAGAATATTAATGGGACCGAGGCATTCTTACTTTTGTTTGATTTTATGGGTAGGATAGGGAGCACAGAAGAGACTGTGAGTTCTAGGAATGGGGACAGCAACAAAGATGTAAAGAAGGCAGCCAGGATGGGCCAGATTATGGGTAGAGAGCTTCCTTTTTTTTTTTTTTGGAAAAAAGGGAAGATTTTCCTTTTCTGAGTAGGAATGGGAAGAGAAGAGGCAGATGCTGAGAAGGGTAGCCAAGCTGTGCTTCTGGTTGAGAAAATATACTCTACATTTGGTAATACTAGCCTTGTTTATATGCTTGGTGATGGGGGCACCATCTTGGATTCTGGAAAGAAAGGGATCGGAATCCTTTCCAACTTTCTGCTTGGTTGAGATTCTCAGATGGGAAGATGTATTATACCCTGGGTAGCTGATGGAGTCCTGTGGAGGGCTTTCACATGACAGCATGGGGGAAGACAGATGCTCAGCTAGTTTTGAATCCCCAGCTTCACTTTGCAGTGGCTCTGATCAAGTGACTCCCCACCCCCCTCCCCGCCACTGGTGGTGTCCCTGTCTATAGAGCAGGGACAGTATGAGCCACTTCACAGAGTTAGGACAAGGCTCAATAAGCAAATGTATATCAAGTTCCTACCAGATTACCTGGAGTGTGGTTAATTCCTGATTCCACAGGTATGCACAAAATGCATAGAGTCCCATAAAGAGTGTATTTTTTGCCAAAACTGTAAGAGACTTATTCATTTATACAATTCATACATCCCCCTTTTCATGTCTTTTTTTCATTTTCTTTTGAGGAGACTAATACAAAGTGGATAAAAAGGAAACTCATAACTTCCTCCTTCCACTCTTGAAATAGAAACACCGAATAACATAAGAGAGTGAGGAGAGCAAGGGAGTCTTCGTCTCCCCACAGTTCAACCTGAAGTCACACCCAAGCATCTCTTACACTCATACACCTCCCCCCCACCAATCAATTTCCACATCCTTCCTCTGTTCTGATGCTTGTAAACACCTATGACATTGGAGATAGAGTGGCTTTCTGATTATCCTCTGCTTAAGTCCATCCTTGTTAATCAATTCATGTTGCTCTCAAATAGAACTAAATTCTAAGTCTCTTCATGTGGCTTCCTCCCAGGTCACAACCACTTTGCAAAATCCAATAGATACTCAACCTCTCTTCTTCTCTCCCCTTTCACTCCAATTTCCTAGTGGTATTGAATTCAGGGCCTGTGCTACAAGGCAGGTGCTCTACCACTTGGGCCATAACCTCAGTCCTTTCTTTTACTCTAGATATTTCTCAGATAAGGTGTCATGCATTTGCCTGGAGCTGGTCTCAGCCTTCTGTTGCTATAGCTGGGATTATAGGTATGAGCCATAGTACCTGGCTCTCATGGACATTTCTTTTTTGGACCCTGTCTTAGATACTATTTCCCATTGAGCTTCACTCTAGGCATCTGAGAGAGCATATTTCAGAGACATTTTTCTTTTTTATCCATCATTCACCACACTCTGCAATTTAAAAAAAATTTAATTGTTATCAAGATGATGTACAGAGGGGTACAGTTACATATGTCAGGTAAGGAGTATATTTTTCTTTGGACAATGCACACTCTACAGTTTTAATGTATGTGGTTTGTTTACTGTGTATGATCTGCCTCTCCCTCTACTGTCCTTGCTAGGACATAAGTCTGAAGCTCTTTGTCTTGTAAGTTCTCAGATGCAAGCAAAATATCTGGCACAAGGGAAGGGATAACAGATGCATGTTCTTGAAAGAATAATTTGTTACTCATCTGAGACCTACTGGGTCCTGATCCCCAGTCTTCATCCCCCAACCACAGACAATTGTCCTTCTGGACCTTTGCAAATGTTATGACTCTTGATAGCTGCTTGACTCATTTCTTCTTGTTCTTCAGATTTGATCCTAGGTGGTATTTTCTTTACAAGTCCTTCTGTGACCCAAACAATGAGTTAAGCTGTGGGCTTTGACTCTTGGTAGCATTCTGAACTCCTGAGATCTCATCTGAGCATCTCTTGCTTTACTTGTTGCTTCTTTAGACTGCAAGAACCTTAAAGCAGGAGCTATGTTCTGCTTGCTACTGTGCCATCAAGTCCAAGGGTAGTGACCAGGGGATAGCACATGCTAAGTACATTTTTTTTTCTTCTAAATGACACTTGAGGGAGAAGATTTACAGTTTCCCTAAATCAAGGTAAGAAACTCTGTGTGTGTGTGTGTGTGTGTGTGTGTGTGTGTGTGTGTGTGTGTGTGTGTGTGTGTGTGTATACACTAGGGCTTGAACTCAGGGCCTTGGGTTGTTTCTTAGCTTTTTTGGCAGTCTACCTACCACTTGAGTCACAGCTCCACTTCTTGCTTTTGAATGTTTAATTGTAGATAAGATTCTCATGAACTTTCTGGCCCAGACTGGCTTTGAATCACAATCCTCAGATATCAGCTTCCTGAGTGGCTAGGATTACAGAGTGTGAGCCATTGATGCCCAGCATAGAAGCATTTTAATGTTTTATTTAAACAATTAAATGCATCTCCTGAACATGCCTGAAATGAACCAGATCCAAATCTTCCCTCCGCAGGGTTCTTTGCCCACAAGGTGGAGCACGAAAGCAGGATGCAGAATGGGCGGAGCTTTCAGAGGACTGGAACCCTTGCCTTTGAGCGGGTCTATACTGCCAAGTGAGTTCAAATCCTGATGCTGTTGACTCACAATGGAGTTTCCTTGCAAGGTTGAGAACTATCAACCAACACAATCTGTCTGCCTCATCCAATGGGCTCCCAGAAGGCTGAACTTCACCTGGAGGGCTTTGTGGATGCCCTTTCTCAGATTTGTGAGCACCAGTACTAGAGGGAAGAAATGAGAGGTTGGGGGAGGGGGCCATGTGGCCTCTGTGGCTCCCGATACTTAGAACCAGTCTCTGGGGAGCTGACCATTTTCCAGTGGGTGAGTCTGGTAGAGCCCACTAAAATGCATACCAGTCTTAAGGCCATTATGGGCTGCCAAACAACAGGCAGTGTCCACTGGCAAAGCCATCCTCCAGCTGCCCTTCCTTTCTCTGGTGGCAGTCTGCAGGTGACCTCAATGAGTTTCTTAACAACAGCTCCCTTAAGCAACCTGGACAAGAACAGAAAGTACAGGGTATTGTGCAATGCTATTTCCCTTCTCTTGCTCTGTATTTTTGAATAGAAGCCCTGTTTGGAAACACCTGGACAGCTCAGGGAAGAGGGGTGTAGGTTCTATTTAGGATGCAAATCGGAAAGGATGTTATGCAAATATGTGCCTCTTTCTTTATGCAGAATGTATTTAAATAGATCAGCCAAAGAGCTGCTCCTCTGCCAGTGACGGAATGGAAGGCTTCCTACTGTGCAGTGGGCTGAAGTAGGGAGCGGGCCTTCAGTTCCAGACAGAGGTGACACGGAGGTCCCCAGGGCTCCTTTGTGAACGGAGTTGTAACCACCAGAGGGATGTATATTGAGAGTCAGGAGCAGTATGAATAAACTCAGGGACAAGCACTCACGCAGAAGCAAAGTCTCTGTGGGAGTAGATGGGAGAGGGGCCCTCTCCAGGCAGTCACCCCTCTAGATAGGGAACATTCTCATCCTGTGAGGTGTAGGTGTGAGGGAATACTAGAGACAGTCTTCACCATTGTGAGCAGACATCTGTGGTTTCTTTTCTCCACCAGCTTCTAAAACAGCTCACTGCCGGGTCTGAACCGCTTGAGGACACATGGCCGAGTCGCCACGGGCTGGTTTCCTAATCCTTCCTCACCCCTCTGCCTTTTCAGGCCATTCTTGGCGGCTCATTCAGCCCCCACCAAGCACCCTCAGACTCCTCCCCCTCTATGCCACTGACCTGCTACAACCTTAGCAGGTAGCAAGCTCTCATAGCAAGCTCTGTAAGGAAACTCCAGCAGTCCCAGCTCAGGGAAACCATTTGCTGAAAAGCCTATACAGAGATTTCTTTTTTACTTTTCTTTTTCTAAGTGCCAGAACTGGGGCTTGAATTCAAGGCCTTACGCTCTCACTTGATTTATTCACTCAAGGCTGGTACTCAATTACTTGAGCCACACTTCACTTCTGGCTTTTTGCTGGTTAATTTGTGATTAAAAAAAAATCTCATGGGCTTTTCTGCCAGGCTGGCTTTGAACCATGATTCTTAGATCTCAGCTTCCCAAATAGCTTGGATTAAATGTGATCCATCAATACCTGGTGGTCCCTGGTGGAAGATTTTTATTTTAACGTCTGGGACTTTGGTGCACTAGTTAGTTCTCCTAATCAGTTTAAAAGACATGACAAGAATATTGACCTATTTGGAGGGGCTCTGAATCTTTTTGTAGCATTTGCTGGGACGGGGGGCGTGGGGGGGGGGCAAGAGGTCATTTAGGAATAAGCCACATTGCTGGGTGTTGATGGCTCACGCCTGTAATCCTAGCACTCAGGAGGCTGAGATCTGAGGATCATGGTTCAAAACCAGCCCAGGCAGGAAAGTCTGTGAAACTCTTATCTCCAATAAACCACCAGAAAAACCAGAAGTGGCGCTGTGGCTCAAGTGGTAGAGTGCTAGCCCTGAGGTGAAAAGCTGAGAGACAGTGCCCAGGCCCATCATTCAAGCCTCATGACCAAAAAAGAAAAAAGAAAGACACATTATGTGCAAGAAGTGCATGGAATCTGATCAGGAAAGGGGTGTCAGCTTCTCTAAGAATAGAATCCAGGGCTGGGAATATGGCTTAGTGGTAGAATGCTTGCTTAGCATGCATGAAACCCTGGGTTGGATTCCTCAGTACCACATAAACAGAAAAAGCCAGAAACAGGGTTGTCAGGTGGTAGAGTGTTAGCCTTGAGCAAAAAAAGATCAGGGACAGTGCCCAAGCTAGAGTTCAAGCCCCAGGATTGACAAAAAAGAAAAGAAAAGAAAAGTAGAAAGAATAGAATCTAATGGAGCCTTAATCATTTACCTAGTAGCAGTGTCCTGCCACCCAGATGATTATATTTTTTGTTGGGACACTGAGTTCTATGTATGTGGGGTGTGTGTGTGTGTGTGTGTGTGTGTGTGTGTGTGTGTGCTGGGACTTGAATTCAACTCTTGCTTGGCTTTTTTTACTAAAACCTGTTATAGTTCTACAGCTCAAGCCACACCTATATCTCTGGGCTTTTTACTGGTTAATTGGAAATCAGAATTTCTTGGATTTTTCTGAGGCTTTGAACCTTGATCCTCGGACCTCAACTTCCTGAGTAGCTAGGATTATAGGTGCAGGGCCTAAATTCTTGTGAGTTCTTTAGCCTCTGCATGGAAGTGAAGTCTCTATATTTTCCAGCATAGCACAAGAAATCGGGTTGCTCAGGCTGCCTCATTTGTGTCACTTCCCCCACCAAGAACGAAATAGCTATGTTTCTAAGAAGACAGTGAGTTAACACGTGACCTCACTGGCTGCCAGCCTCCAAATTGCAGAAGTACCGTGGTGTGGCTGGTGGCTGAGCTGTGTCACTTAGAAGTGTGGTTTGGAAATTCTGCATTTCTTCCAAAGGTAAGAAGACGTGAAGGGAGAGGGATGGATGATTGTTGTATCTGGGGACCCACACCATGTGGGTACTCAAACTAATTCTCAAAACCCCTGTGTCTTGGCAAAGTGGCAACTTCGCTTCTATCAGAGGAGAAAGGAAGGGAGGGAGAGGTGGCATGGAGAGGTAGGAAGTAAGGATGGAGAGCTTTCCTTAAGATAAGGGTGGCTCAGATACTGCTGTGGTTCTCTTACAAAGACCACTTCCTCCCTGGCCCAAACCACTGTTCATGCGTGCCTTTGGCAATGGCACAAAGGAACCAGACATCAGCGTAGCAGGCTTCCACACACTGGCAAGAACCAGAGGCACCAAAGCTGTTGGTCTGTTCCAGGAAATGACTGGGTTTCTTTAGTAGGAAGTCATCTCCCAGTAGGTTTTCCAGTGGCTTCCCTAAGCACCAAAAGCAACATATCCACAGGAATGTAGGAAGAACAGAGCATGCATTTAATCTAAAACACAAGAGATAAAACTATACCCAATGTGTGTGTGTGTGTGTGTGTGTGTGTGTACCAGTACTGGGGCTTGAACTCAGGGCCTGGCCATTGTCCCCTAGTTTTTTCACTCAAGGCTGGTGCTCTACCACTTGAGCTGCACCTTCATTTCTGGCTTTGGCTTTTGGTTGGTTCTTTGGAGATGAGAGTCTCATGGACTTTCAGCCCAGGCTGGCTTCGAACTACGATCCTCAGATCTCAGCTTTCTGAGTAGCTAGGAGTGTGCTAGAGCCTGACACACCATCTTTCATATATAGATGGACAGTAGTATGTGCATGTTATTTATGAATAAATAGGCCTGCCATATGTTGATAGGGTTGATAGGGTGAGGGAGTGTGTGGATCATGCCCATGAATAAAGGAAAAATAGTATCTAGGGTAAATGAAATTGGTGGAGGGAAAAGCCCAATGTGTGCTTTTTAGCTAGACTCTGACTATTGCTTGGTGGAGATAGCTTGTGGTTAACAGTCACCCCACCCTCATATTGCATCAGAGCAGAGCTGGCCTTTCCTAATGATCTGTCTTGCTGCTCATCACCCAGTCAAGCAGGGATTAAGACCCAAAAGGAGCTGAAACTTGACTCTGTTCACATATAAAGAGCATAGCTCTGCACTTGGAGTCCTGGCTCAGTTGATAGATTACTAGTCAATGAGTGAATGCATCAGGTACCAAGGTTGAGTCCTGGTCTTGTACCAAAAGGAAAAAGAAAAAAGAAAACAGAAAGAAAAGTAATGTTTAAATCAGAATACAGGTTGACCCATTGTAACAATGAGGTATACAAGTCACCATGTTGAAAAAAGAACTTTACAATTTAGGCGAGGGTGGGGGAGTGTAGTTGGGGAGGTGGGAGGGAAGGGATGGTAGGGGAAAAACAAAGGAGGAGGAAACAATGCTTGACAAGAAATGTACTCATTACCTTGTTCATGTAACTGTAACCCCTCTGTACAATATTTTCCCAATAAAAAACATAAAAAAAAAAAAAAGAGCCGGGCACTGGTGGCTCACGCCTGTAATCCTAGCTACTCAGGAGGCTGAGATCTGAGGATTGAGGTTCAAAGCCAGCCCGGGGAAGGAAAGACTGTGAAACTCCTATCTTCAATAAACCACTAGAAAACTGGAAGTGGCACTGTGGCTCAAGTGGTAGAGTGCTCACCTTGAGCTGAAGAGCTGAGGGACCGCGCCCAGAGTTCAAGCCCGGAGACGGACAAAAAAAAAAAAACTTATAAAAAAAGAAAAGAAAAGGACCTTGAAGGTCAGAAATTATATGAAAGTTGGAATAATTGTTTAATACACTTAATGTGTTACTCTGGCAAAGAAACAAAGAAAGAAAGGAAGGGAGGAAGGGAGGAAGGAAGGAAGGAAGGAAGAAAGAAGGAAAGAAAGAAAGGAAGAAAGAAAGAAAGGAAGGGAGAAAGAAAGAAAGAAAGGAAGAAAGAAAGAAAGAAAGAAAGAAATCCTAGCTATTCAGAAGGCTGAGATCTGAGGATCACGATTCAAAGCCAGCCCAGGCAAGAAAGTCTGTGAAACTCTTATCTCCAAGTTACCAGCAAAAAGCCAGAAGTGGAGGTCAGTCTCAAGTGTTAGAGTGCCAGACTTGAGCAAAAAGTTTGAGAGAAAGCTACCCAGGCCT